AAGAGGTCACCAGTTCGATTCCCTGTCAGGACACACACCCAGGTTGTTGGCCTGATCCCCAGGGGGCATGCAAGAGGCGGATCCATGTTCTCTCTCATCGATGTTTCTATCTCTCCCTCTCACTTCCTCTCTCTCTAATATCTATAAAGGAAAAAAATATATACATAACACCAAGACTCCTGTGGAATTACACTTAAGAGTCAAGCCCCACCTAAGATCCAGGCAATCTTCAGGAAATTAGCTGATCTCGTCCTGGCCAGTTTGGCTCAGCGGTTAGAGCGTCAGCCTGCGGTCCAGAGAGACCTGGGTTCGGTTCCCGCTAAGGGCACGTACTTCGGTTGCAGTTTGTCCCCAGCCCTGGTTGGTCGTGCGGGTGGCAGCCACTAGATGTGTCCCTTCACGTCGATGTTTCTCTCTCTCTCCCCCTTCCTCTCTCTCCCTTCCACTCTATCTGTACAAAAAATGGAAAAATATCCTCGGGTGAGGATAAAATAAATAAATAAATAAATAAATAAATAAATAAATAAATAAATAAATAAATAAATTAGCTGATCTCCCTGAGCCTCAGTTTACCGTCATAGAACAGAAACAGATTCGCTGCAAAGATTTAACAAGTAGAACAAGTTTTCACTGTGCCTGGTACACTCCAAGGACTCAATAAAAGCAGCTGCCACCATTCTCTCTTCATTTCTGCCTCCCTGTCCAGAAACAACCCTAGTCCTCCCTGGTTCTCCACCCACAGGTCTCCCATCCATGCTGCACAGGATGGTCAGATCAGTGTAAGAAAGGTCCATTTACATTCTGTCTCCTATAGGCACAGCACAAGTACCAACTGCTCTTTCTCTATACACAAAACTCCCTTCTCCACACAGTCCTCAAATCTCTGACCATATCTGGCTTGATGCAGTACCGGTGGGCAGAGTCAGTTTAGTAAGAAGACTGCTGGCACTCTCACTTTTGGGTAGGGACGTGCAGGGTGAGGCTAAGACAGTCTGCTACTGTGCCAAAGGCAGAGGGGTACTCAAAGACGAGAGGATCCTGTCAAAAGAGACAGAGAAGCCACAGGAAGGTGCACTCAGCGGTTGAATCTGGAACAACTTAAGCATCAAAATCATGACAACAAATGTTTTATAACCACCAAAATGAAAAAGTCCTCAAGTCTCTACTAATCCTCAATTACGCTAATGAAGAGTGTCAGCTAATGAGTGTAAAAGAATAGCAGAATTAGCAAGATGACCCTTTTGCAACAATCAGTGTAACAGCTGATTCAGGCAAGGATCACTGATGTCAGACCTTCCACTGGATGAAAGATTGCTGGGAAAGAAGATATTCATGCATATGTCACAAAGTATCACTTCACTCATTTCAAAGTGAAAAACACACTTCTGGGGAAAAAAGCCATGAGGGAAAAAAAAAGTCAGCATGGGGAACATTCCACGAGACAGGCTTGGATTCTTCAAAAAAAAATTCAATGCCATAAAAAAATTACAAAATGGCCCTGGCCGGTTTGGATCAGAGGTTGGAACATCGGCCCACAGACTAAAGACTCATGGGGTCTGATCAAGGGCACATACCTCGGCTGTGTTTGATCCCCGGCCCTGGTTGGGGTCATACGGGAGGCAACCAACTGATGTATATCTCTCTCTCTCCCCCCCTCCCTAACCCCACCCCCACTTTGTCTGAAGATCAATGGAAAAGTATCCTTGGGTGAGAATTTAAAAAAAAAATGGCCTGGCCGGTGTGGCTCAGTAATTGAGTGTTGATCTGTGCACCAGGAGGTCACCAGTTCAATTCCCAGTCAGGGCACATGCCCAGATTGTGGGCCCAATCCCCAGTGGGGGCATGCAGGAAGCAGCCAATCAATGTTCTCTCTCATCAATGTTTCTATCTTTCCCTCTCCCTTCCTTGCTCTCTAAAATTAATAAAGAGCCCTGGCCAGTTTGGCTCAGCGGTTAGAGCGTCGGCCTGCGGTCCGGAGAGACCCGGGTTCGGTTCCCGCTAAGGGCACGTACTTCGGTTGCAGTTTGTCCCCGGCCCTGGTTGGTCGTGTGCATGGCAGCCACTCGATGTGTCCCTTCACATCGATGTTTATCTCTCTCTCCCTTCCTCTCTCTCCCTCCCACTCTATCTGTACAAAAAATGGAAAAATATCCTCAGGTGAGGATAAAATTAATAAAGAAAAAAAAAATTTTTTTAATGGATGGAGGATTGTTTTAGATTAAAAGAGAGCAAAGAACTTTTCAACAAATCTGTAATATGTATGTCTTAATATTACTTTTGTAATTTAAACTACTAAAAAATCAGTAGTAAAATTGAGAAATAAAAAATTTTTTTAAAAGGGGGTAAAAAAAAGAAAGAGACCAAAGAACACAGATTCTAAATGTAATTAATGAATCTTGATTAAATCCTTAAAAAGTAGCAAAGATATTTGTGCACAACAACAATAAATCTGAGTATGAAATGGGCATCAGGTGATATGAGAGTTTTTTTCAATTATTTTTTTAAAATCCTCACCCAAGGATATTTTTCCATTTATCTTCAGATAGAGTGGGAGGGAGGGTGGGAGTGAGAGAGAAAGAGAGACAGACAGACAGACATTGATTGGTTGCCTCCCAGGGCCAGGACCAAACTGCAACTGAGGTATGTGCCCTTGACCAGAATCAAACCCGAGACTCTTGGGTCTGTGGGCCAACACTCTAACCGCTGAGCCAGGGCAATATTAGAGAATGTTTTTAAATTTTCTTTTTTTTTTAATCCTCATCCGAGGATATTTTTAGAGAGGAAGGGGGAGAGAGTGAGAAACATCGACGTGAAGGGACACATCGAGTGGCTGCCACCCGCACGACCAACCAGGGCCGGGGACAAACTGCAACCGAAGTACGTGCCCTTAGCGGGAACCGAACCCGGGTCTCTCCAGACCGCAGGCCGACGCTCTAACCGCTGAGCCAAACTGGCCAGGGCTGTTTTTAAATTTTCTTAGGTGGGCCCAGCCAGTGTAGCTCAGTGGATTGAGCGTCATCTCATGAACTGAGAGGTCCCAGTTCGATTCCCGATCAGGGCACATGCCCAGGTTGCAAGCTCCAACCCCAGTATGGGGCGTGCAGGAGGCAGCTGATCGATATAGCTCTCTCACATTGATGTTTCTATCTCTCTCTCCCTTCCTCTCTCTCTAAAAAACCAATAAACAACATATTTAAAAAATAAAAATAAAAAAATTGAGACAGAGGTGTACATGTGCTATATATTCATAGGATACATGTGCATAGGTATCTATAGACAGAAGTGCATGTATGTGTGCTATATATTCATAGGACACAAGTGCACACCTAACTAGGGACAGAAGTGCGCATTTATTCTATATATCATACAATATACGTGTATACTATCTATTAAGAGACAGACAAATGTGGTGAAATAAAAACAACTGTGCTTCTAGAAGAATAGGTGGATTTGCTGCACTTTTTTCAACTTTTACATAAGCTTGAAACTTTCCAGAGTAAAAACTTGGGAGAAAAGATATGCAGGCTCCAGGGTAAGGCTATATGAGAGTGCCACTCGCCTTGCATATGGTCTGTATGGTAACCACAGATGGTTCCTTCTGCTCTCTGAGCCCAGAGTGACCCCACCCTAAAAGTAGATGAAGAGCTGTTGACCCACCTATGGCCCCATTCTTTACAGTGTTGTCATCTGGGCTGGACTGGTTAGAAACTATAACCTCCATGGCCTTCAGAGCAACCAACAGGACTAGACTCACGGGGACAGGAGAACATGTGGGCACCACTCAGCCCCCATCACTGTATGAACCCCTGAGAATCAGGCATTTTCTGTTTCAGGGCTATGGCTACCCTAGCTGGGGAAGAAATTGCTCCCCTTGTCAGAATAAACTTTCTCACATGGACACTCTCAGACAAGAGCCAGCGGTATGCTAAGATCTCGGTGCATGCTGGCCGCTACTTACTCCTAACATTTTCATGCACCTCAGGTGCAAGATGCCAACTTGTTCTCTAATCTCAAGCTCCTTAATACAACTATGTCCTAGTTCCCTTTTGTATACTTCATGAATTTTGAACATTAAATCTAAAACCTAGTATCTAACATTAAACACATAAAACAGACTTGTTTGCCACATCACATGATTGAATGAATAAAATCCCTATTTTGGAGAAGCCGAATGAGCAAAAATTCATTCATGAAAAAGTGTTTACTGAGCACTACTGCATGTAGGAACTTTTTGGGATGTGCAGAGGCTCAAGCAGAACAACACTGCCATCTAGGAGAGAGACGGGGATGGACTGGAGGGCAGCATGCATGGGCAGTGGTGGCCTGGGGACAGAATACATCAGGAGGTATAACTGGATGGGAGTCCTGCTCGTGGTCAGGATGGGGCACAGCAGCAGGTGAGTGAAGAAGTTTGTGGACAAGTAACTGGAAGGATGGTCATACCATGTACCAGAAAGAGTCAGCCTGGGAAAAAAAGAAGTTTGTGGAAAGAACAAAGCTCTGTTACGATATGGTTACACCATATGGTTACACCGGAGCTGCCCAACAGTCAATCAGACAAAGAAGGGTGAGAATCGGTGTGTGTCAGTGTGCAGTGTATCTTCTCCTGGAACAGACCCTGCAAATATATGTAATATCAAAACTAGATGAAAACAACCCCAGTGCAAGGATTTGGGAGTGGCTCTAAACCATTCCAGTGTGATCACCTCACACCGCCAACGCTAGAGTACTTCCTGTTCCTCTCTGGTCCCTTCTCCCAATGTCCCATTCTGTCCCCATCTAATTTCTTGACAGAACTCTGATGACTTCTCTTAGTCTCCTAAATTCTCTGAAATCTCCAAAATGGAATTAAATGTTTAAGGAAAATAGTAACCATTCTCAAAGACAGTGGAATTGAAAATTAATACTGAAAATTAAGATAAGAATAAAATTTTCATATCCACCCACAAAACCTTTTTCATGAACAATTAAAAAGAGATATCTGAACAACTGTGACTCACTCTGTATGGCCCTGGAAAACATTCACAGAGTGGATCGACGGGTCCCTGAAATCCCACAGACGGAATGTCGTGTCACGGGAGGAGGTTACCACAAGCCGCTGGGTGGGGTGTGTGCAACAGTGCGTGAGTTCCTGGTCATGCCCTACAATACAACCAAAAACAACAAAAATGCAAGGTCAACCATCTACAAATACAGTAAAGCTTTCTTAAAAACACTAGAATCAAAAAAACAGTCTTTTTGTCTCCACTGCTAATACTCACTGTAAAGGTAAACACAAGGACCACTTCTCCCTCAGGAGCTGGAAGTCCTTTCACTTGTACATTTAAAAGAAATATGGTACTGAGTACGAGTGTAACCCACTTCCTGATCCTCACATTTGAAAGGTCTGGCAAATCTTACCCAGCCAGTGTGATTCGGTAGATTGAGCTCGTCCCATGGACTGAGGGGCCCTGGTTTGATTCCCGGTCAGGACACATGCCCAGGTTATAAGCTCAGTCCCCAGTGGAGGTCGTGCAGGAAGCAGCCAATTGATGTCTCTCTCTCACATTGATGTTTCTATCTCTCTCTCCCTTCCTCTCTCTCTAAAAAAATCAATAAAACATATATTAAGAAATAAATAAATAAAAGGTCTGGCAAATCTCTTTAACAGGCTCAGCACGTGAACAAATTAATTCTCGGTTCTTCACTTCCCAAAAGACCTCTAATAACATATATGGAGACGTCAATGAAATATAGCCTTTAACAATCAATCAGAAAATGCACTTACTGACAAATTTGCAAAAATACTTGCTGTGGACAGAATTCTAAGATGGCCTGAAGACCCTCATCCCTGGTGTACACACCCTGTCTGATATCTTCCCCTTGAGTTTGGGAAAATGTGATGAACTACCACTCTGGTAATCTCAGTACGTTTATAAGGCAAGACATATTTTTCAGTCATAACTAAGGCCCCCAAGTAAGTTCATCAAAGGAAAGAATGTCCTCGTGGGCCTGGCCTAACCAGATGGGCCCTCTGAAAGGGTCCAGGCAGCCCTGGCCAGTGTGGCTCATTTGGCTGAAGTATCTTACCATACACTGAAAGGCGGCGGGTTCAATTACCAGTCAGACCACATACCTGGGTTTCGGGTCCAATCCCTGGTCAGAGAGGGTACAGGAGGCAACCAATTGATGTTTCTCTCTCATATCAATGTTTCTTTCTCTTTCTCTCTCTCTCTAAAATCAATGAAAAAAAACCATATCCTCAGATGAGGATTAAAAAAAATAAAAATTAAAAAGCCAATCAGATAAAGACAAATATCACATGATCTCACTTATTTGTAGAATATAAAGGACAAAAAAAGCTAATGAATAAAACAGACCCAGAGACATAGAAGTAGGGTACTGACAAACCTCAGGAGAGGGGGGTGGGAGTGAGGGAAGAGATAAACTACAGAACTTATATGCATGTATGCGTAACCATGGACACAGACAATAATGCTGGGGGGGGGGGGGTGTTGGGAGGAGGGAAAAGGGAGAAACATCTGTAACAAAAATAAAAATAAAAGGGCCCAGGCAGAGGTGCTTTCCTGCTGGTGCTGGTCTGGAAAAAATCAAACAGCCGTGGGTAATACACCTCTAGATGGGAACACAAGGGACCCAATAACATGCTAAATGCTAAAAGCAGTCCCCAACCCCAAATTCCTGACCCAGGGAAACCATAACATTATAAATTCATGTTACTTTAAGACACCACATTTGTGGAAATATGTTACAAAACAATAGAAAACTAATACACTAGCATATTTCAAATATCTAGATACTATATGCTACAATTAAATCCCTAAAGATAGAATCAGCTACCAACAGTTCTATTACAAAGGATCTCTGAAAAATCACAATCTGAGCACCCAGAGAACTAAAAATAATTCTGGACAAAAAGGAATTTGCAAGATAAGATAACACATGCACATAAATCACAAGCACACTGCTGGGAGGCCAGGGCTAAAGTACCTGTGAGAGCCCTGGCCGGTTTGGCTCAGCAGTTAGAGTGTCGGCCTGCGGTCCAGAGAGACCCGCGTTCGGTTCCCGCTGAGGGCACGTACCTCGGTTGCAGTTTGTCCCCAGCCCTGGTTGGGTTGTGAGGGTGGCAACCACTCGATGTGTCCCTTTCACATCGATGTTTCTCTCTCTCTCTCTCTCTCTTTCCCACTCTATCTGAACAAAATATCAAAAAAATAAAAATAAAAATATAAATAAAGTACCTGTGAGAGAGTGAACGAGCTCCGCTGTCTCCACATCATAGAGGTTTGCTGTTCGGTCCCAGGATGCCGTCACCGCCTGCTTCCCCCCAACCAGCCAGTCGGCAGCTATGACCACTCCCTGGTGACTCTTAAGAGAAGTCAACGGCACCCGGATGGTAGGACAGTCACTGGATACATCTCCATCCACATCAGGCTCATCCTTATCAGAGCACTCGACTTCATCCTCGCCACATATCTGCTGTTGAAGGTCAGAGCAGAGAGTTGTGGGTCTTTTCTGGCACAGCTACATAATCAGACTGTGTCACTTATCTTTCTAGAACTTGATCATCATTATGACCAATACTGGTGCAGGACCTGGTACGTTAACCAGTGTTCAATAAATGTTTATCACCTTCATGTTTATGTGCTTGGCTGAAACCAGGGCCAAATATAAGGAGGAAAAAAATCAGGGCCACTATAACATCAAATAGGATATTGTCCATTTCCACTAACCAACAAAATGGCAAATAAAATGATTTTCGACATTTTAGGTTTTTACCATGTATTAGAAATGCAATAAAACTAAACAAATTCAACTGAAAGTCAATAATTTATCCACAATAAAAAAAAAAGGAATATTCCACCCTGACTGGTTTGGCTCAGCGGTTAGAGCATCGGCCCACAGACCAGAAAGTCCCAGGTTCAGTTCCCGCTAAGGGCACGTACCTCAGTTGCAGTTTGTCCCCGGCCCCAGTTGGGATTGTGTGGGCAGCAGCCAGTCCATGTGTCTCTCTCAAATCTGTTTCTCTCTCTCTCTCTCTCTCCCTCCCGCTCTATCTGAAGATAAACGCAAAAAAAAAAGGAATATTCCAATTCTCAAGAGCCTACTTAAGATATACTTAGAATTCTATTACTGTAACAACAGATACGAGAGTTTACTTTATTTTCCTACAAATCAACAAAGTCTTTTGTCAAAAGCCAAAGATAAAATAAAAATGTGGTAGTCACCATAGGTTTCAGTTCTTTAAGAAAATATGTTTATTCATTCAACAACTATTTATCAGCTGCTTACACAGTGCCAGAACAAAGGCAGGGCACAGAGCAGAGAAGGAGAGATAAACTCTGCTGACATGTATAAGGAACAATGAATAGCCAGGTGAGGAGGGCAATGAAGGCAGAGACTGGCAAAGTCCCCGCCTCAGGGAGCTTACATGCTAGCAAGGAAGACAAACAACACATGTGGGGGTGCATGCACACATATACATACAACAGACACACAGAAATACATGCTGTGTGTATATATATGCTAGTGTGGGAATACATGCCACGTGTACATACACTCATAGTATAGGGATGTCACATGTACACACTCATAGGAGTATGTATAAATGTACACTCATAGTATAGAGATGTCATATGTACACGCTCATAGTATAGGAGTATGTATTACATGTACACTCATAGTATAAGACTAGGTGTCACATGTACACACTCACAGTATAGAAATGTCATATGTACACGCTCAGTATAGGAATGTACACTCATAGAGATATCAAATGTACACACTTATAGTTTAAGAATGTGTCATATGTACACACTCCTAGTTTAGGGATAGATGTCACATGTACACACACAGTATATTTGTCATATGTACACACTCCTAGTATAGGGATATGTGTCACATGCACATAAACAGATTCAGGCAAGAATATGAGTAAAGAAGAAAAATAAAGCAAGATGAGGGGATAGACAGTCATGAGGGCTACTCTTTTATGTAGGGGAAGACTCTCTGCTAAAGTAACATTTGACTTGGGATGTGAAGAAAACAAGGGAGTAAGGCACGTAAATATTTAGGGGAACAAGGTTCCCAGCCAAGGAAACAGAAGATGCAAAGGCTCAAAAAGGGAACAGATGAGTTGAAGTGGAAGAGGTTGCAGAGGTGGATTCAGAGATGTCACTGGTATAAATCATGTAAAACCTGGAGAAATGGAAAAGGACTTTGGAATTTATTCTGTGTGTCCTGGAAAATAATCACCAGATGGTTTTGAGTACGGAAGACTCATGCTTTAAAGAACCACTGTTATATGTGAACATTCCTGAGGAATGCACTGTGTCCCCCTAAAATCATGTTGAATCCTCAACCCCCAGTACTGCAGAATGTGACTGTATATGGAAATGGGACCTTTAAAGAGGTAATTAGGGCCTGGCCAGAGTGGTTCAGCTGGTTGAGAGTCATCCTATGCACCCAAAGGTTGCCGTCCAATTCCCCATCTGGGCACATACCTGGGTTGCGGGTTTGATCTTGGTAGGGTTACATATGGAAGGCAACAAATCACTGTTCCTCTCTCACATCGATGTTTCTTTCTCTCCCCCCCCCCCCTAAGCAGTGAGGATTAAAAAAAGTAATTAGGGTAAGATGGGGTCATTGGGGTAGGCCCTAATCCAGTACATATGACTGGTGTCCCTAATAGAGGAGATAAGGACAGACACAGAGAGGGACAACCATGTGAGAACATGGGAAGATGGCTGCCTACATGCCAAGGACCAAGGCCTCAGGAGAAACCAGCCCTTCTGACAACTGGATCTGGGACTCCAGGACTGTCTCTTGTCTAAGCTGCCCCTCTGTGGTGCTTTGTTACAGCAACCCAACCACACTGATACAGGGGAGACTATGATCACCGAATAGAGGTAGAAGAAGGGAGCCTAGATGAGACAGCAGTAAAGATGAGGGAGAAAGGTTAAATTAAGACATCCTTTGATACAGCCCAGGATTTGCTGATATCCAGGTGGGTGAAAGAAAATTTGTGGATGATTTACAGGCGTTTAGTCTAAATAACAGGGTGAAGGATAAAGTCTGAGAGAAGGAACAAAACAGAAGGAGCGGATTGTGGGAACATCCAGAGCTCAATTTTGGACACAATAGTTTTGCAGTCTGTAAGACATCCAAGTAGAAACTGAGTTAAGTAGTGAGATGTCTATCGAAGTTTGGAGTTAAAGAGTCGAGGACAGTATGCAAACCTGGGGGTCAGAAGCAAGGGATGGTCCTTTGAAACATGAGTCTGAGGATCAGCTAGAAAGTACTGTGGGAGGAAATCAGGAGAGAAGGTGGAGGTGACCCACACACGAATGGGTAGGGAGGTGACCCACACACAGGTAAGAGCGCAAAGAAGGTGACCCACACACAGGTGAGAGAGCGGAGGAGGTGACCCGCACATAAGTGAGAGGGTATAGTGTCAGAGACGCAAGAGTCACCAGGAAGAGGAGGTGACCCAGCCAACAAGACTCAAGAGGAAGGAAGAAAACAAGAGAAATACACGAGATGTTAGATGGAGAGAGGGCCACACTGTGACAGGAATTTAGAAGTCCAAGGAGCGAATGAAAGTGTCTGCTGGGTGGTCAACATGGATGGGATGCTGAGAAAAGCCCGGCAGGGACACAGATGACCCTAGAAGAGTGTGTAGAGAGGGAAAGGAGTGCAAGTGACAAGTCTGAATTCTGCATAGGAAAACCAGTACCACATGGCTCCAGGAGGGATAGAAGGCTCAGGTAGGTTAGGGGGACAGCTACTACGCCATGTCTGCTTGCTGCTGATACAAGAAAGTAAGGAGGCAGAAGGGAGTGTGAGGAAGTCACCCGGAAATGTGTCAGAGTCGTGGCCAGGAGGAATGTCACAGCCCAGAATTGCCTGATGATGGTAAGGCTGGTCACAGGGCACTAACTGATCAGTACAAGAGGGACAGAAGAAATGCTGGAAGTAATCACAGGGGGAACGATCCAGAAAGAGGACTCACAATCTAGTGGGAAAGTTAAACATAAATGATTACACAAAAGTATCTATTTCATATGAATGCTAAATGCTACAAAGGCCAAGTGCAGGACACTCTGAGAGTAAGGCAGGCGGCCTGCAACACTGAGAGGTACCTGCAGGATGAGGAGTAGGGTAAGGAGTAGGAAAAGGGCCAGCAGGGGGGAGAAGATGGTGAGTCAGGGCAGCAAGCCCATCCAGGGACTGGAGTGGGGAGGGGATGTAAACTGAGACTAAGGGTTGCAACAGCTCACTGAGGTGACTCACTGAGATAAAATGCTACAAAGACTACACCTGACTTCATAGAGAAGAGGCTAGACATGAGCAATCAGATCTGAGACAGGGAGACGAGTCAGGAGACTAGTTAATGATCTGGACTTGGAATGGTGACAGCGAACAGAACAGCTGGAGTGAAACTTGCTCAAGGTAAACCATTCCCTGCTTGGTAAACAGCATCTAGAAAGGAGAAACAAGTCACTGTACATTCCTGGTGGAGACGTTGTAGCTGGGGCTCTCCTTCGGGGAACACGGATTCCTAGGTCATAGGGCTTGTCAGCCCCCATAGCCACTCTCCTGCACCTTCACTGTCTCTTGGGCTGGTGGGTTTCTGGATGGCTCTGTGAGAAGTGTAGAGAAACTCAGCAGGGAGCTCAGAGTAGCTGCTATAGAAGGGGTGTCACAGGGAGACAGAAGTGGATGTAAGAATTATTTAGGAACCAGAATCGGGAAGATGTCATATATTAGGTGGAAATGGAGGAGGGGAGGTGACAGAAGGGAAGAGTTAAAGGTGAGTTTGCAGTTCTGTTCATCATTACACCCAAACCTGCAGCAGTGAGCCTCACAGCTCTTCACTAACTATTCTAATGAAAGGAGTGACAAGTGGGCATGCAAAAGAGCAACTTCTGCCGGGGGAGTGGGAGGTCTGGGGGAGGCCGTGTGTGCAGTGTGGTCTTGGGAACAGTGCAGTGAAAACCCTGGGTGTGGGAAGGATGCCGGAGCGCAGAAGAATGGCCTGGAGTTCCCATGTAAAAAGCCCTAGTTATCAGGATCCACATTTGAAAGATGAAACAGAGTCATAACATTTACAGAAGTCAATTTAGCAAACTACACAAGGAATTTAAAGATATATAAAACACAAATGTAGTAAGTCACATTAAAAGATAATAGCAGCCCTGGCCGGTTTGGCTCAGCGGTTGGAGCGTCGGCCTGCGGTAAAGAGAGACCCGGGTTCGGTTCCTGCTAAGGGCATGTACCTCGGTTGCAGTTTGTCCCCGGCCCTGGTTGGTCGTGTGGGTGGCAACCACTCGATGTGTCCCTTCACATCGATGTTTCTCTCTCTCTCTCTTCCTCTCTCTCCCTCCCGCTCTGTCTGAACAAAAAATGCAAAAATGTCCTCGGGTGAGGATTTAAAAAAAAATAAAAGATAATAGCAAAATCTTTAACCCTAAACTGGTAAAGGGCAGGAGGAAGAAGGGTAAGAATTGTTTGTTTTTTGCCACTGTCTTAGAGATAATCAATCTATTTAACTTGACTCATTTTTACTGCCGACATTTAAACAGAAACGTTCAAGAACTGCCTATTTCATACGAAGTACCTACTGAGAACCAGTTGTCCACAGAACCACAAGTCCCTGAATCACATGTTCTCATGTAGGAGGGGCCATTGAGAGCTGATACATAATTCATTTAGATTTTCACTTTCAAATGAAGAAAATCCACCCCACTAAGTTAAATAAATTAACATCAAGCAACTAGCATGATACAGTGATCTAACAGGCAATCTAAAACTGTTCAGAGGATACCATCCAAATATTTCATTATGAACACGGTAGATGCCAAATTAAAAGGAGAAAACATCTGTCCAAGAACTGTACTGATTCAAAATGAACAAGATAGTTACAGACTAGTTTATTTCAGAATCTAGGAGAACTACTAAGAAATCCAGCAGAAGCTTTAGAACACAAATGGCCCTCACTTAAAGAGCCTCGTATGCAATGGGTGGCAACTACAGAGGGGAGTAACCGAGCCCTCACGAGGGAAGGCCACACAGAACCACGCTTAGCAGAGGGTAGATGTGGTTCCAGTCATGCCCTGTGATGAAGGCTCCTCTCTAATTCAGCCTGGGCTTCCCCTCAGGTGCTCCAAATCCTGGGGCAGCAACTCCAAGCATGAAAAGTCCCTCCCTGTGTCTAATGCAAGCAAAATCATAAAGAAAAAAAGTCCATGTAATATTCTAGCTTTTTAAATTAAGTATTATACATAATTTTCCCATCTAATAAGATCAGTGCTTTCTGCCCTGGCTGGTTTGGCTCAGCGGTTGGAGCATCGGCCTGCGGTCCAGAGAGACCCGGGTTCGGTTCCCGCTAAGGGCACGTACCTCGGTTGCAGTTTGTCCCCGGCCCTGGTTGGTCGTGAGGGTGGCAGCCACTCGATGTGTCCCTTCACATCGATGTTTCTCTCTCTCTCTTCCTCTCTCTCCCTCCCACTCTATCTGAACAAAAAATGGAAAAATGTCCTCTGGTGAGGATAAAAAAAAAAAAAAAAAGATCAGTGCTTTCTTATTTATTTGCGGGAACCCACAGAGTGTTAACTCACTTTCTCACCTGAGCATTAATCCCAACCTTATCTCTGCCCTATCCTCCATCAAAACCCAATGCTAGTCTCTTCAATGAATGAAACTGTTAAGCATGGCACATAATAAACAGTTTGGCAATTCCGCCTGGGAAAAGTACGTAATACACTCAATTAACAATGAGCCATTAATAAGAGCTCTTAACTAAAGAAAACTCATTCTTACTCATCACTGTACTTTATTAATTATTTAACCCATCTCCAAATAGAACAATGTTTAAAATGTTTAAAAAGGAGAAAAAGTAAAGGATTATTCTGAGGCAGAAACATCAAAACTAGAAAGTTACCATCACCCACTATTAATTATGGCTAAATGGAAACTGAAACCTCATGTTTACAATGACTGCATGACATCACAGAACTCTCTGCCTAATACCACTGCTGCAAGCAGGGCAAGGAAAGGGATAAGAGAGCAAAAAACTAAATCATTTCACTCAAAAGGATAATTAAGATCTCTGCATGATTATAAATAGAATCCAATATTACAAGACAAAGAGTAACTGAGAATTTATGGTTTAAATCTATTGATTCATTCTTCTTCTCAATATGCAAACTCTTTTGTTACCTACATTAAAACTTCACCCAGAGTCCTGGCTGGTTTGGCTCAGTGGTTACAGCGTCAGCCCTCAGACCAAAGGGTCACAGGTTCGATTCCAGTCAAGGGCACATACCTGGGTTGCAGGTTCAATCCCTGGCCCGGTCAGGGTCTTACAGGAGGCAATCAATTGACGTGTCTCTCTCACATCAATGTTTCTCCCTCTCCCTTTTTCCCTCCATTCCTTCCACTCTATCTAAAACCAATGAAAATATATCCTTGAGGATTAAAATATCCTTGAGGTGAGGATTAACAACAACAACAAAAACTTCACCCACATAATAATGATGTTATACATGCCACTGATTTTAGAAATTTATCTAAAAAATACATAAAACATTAAGAAATGCAACCTAATCACAAATTTAAAAGAAAGGTAAATGTTTAATACTTGTGGAAAGGCAGGTTAAAGCAAGCAAGTGCATATATAGATAAAGGTACTTGTTAGATGTTGCCTTGGTCTGCTCAGGTTACCAAAATGAAACACCAAGACTGGGTGGCCAAGATCAAGGGGCAGCAGATATGGTTTCTGGACAGGGCTTTCTTCCTGGTGTGCAGATGGCCTCTCCCAGGTGCGTACAGGGAGAGATCTTTGGTGTCTCTTGTAAGGGCACTAATCCTTTAGGATCAGGGCCCTACTCTAAGACCCCATTTAACCTTCATTTCTTCCTTAGAGGCCCTATCTTCAGATACAGCCAAACTGGGGGTTACGGCTTCAACGTCTGAATGTTGGGGAGACACAAACATTCAGTCCATAAGATATTATAAAGTTATTCTAAAATTTGCAGACATCCAGAACCCCACCAACATACCCCAGGTCGCGTTTTCAGGGTTAAGTAAATGTGCTGCTTACACTAGTGTCAGCCACAGGCTGGGGAGTGGGCAGCTGAACCACGTATCTCCAAATGTGAGCAGTCTGATCTCCAGAAGCTGAAGAGAGAAATTGGAGAAAAATTAACCAACATGCACACCATATGCAAAAAGTGCTTTCTGCAAGGCTCTGAGCATCATCAGACATGCATAACTTAGTGATTGTGAGATGAATGTACTTCACTAAAGGACTTATTTCTGAGACCACACAATGCTATTGAGAATAGAGTTAGTGCACAAAATTAAGATAATTACTTATAAAAATGTTCCCCATTTCATTTTAAGATAGAAAGCTGTGAGGGTTCAGGGAAAATTTACAAATACATTTTATCCTCCAACTACCCAACCTAAGTAAACTGAAACCCAATTATACTCTAACTTGTGCCTACAATGGGTGCTCAGGTGTTTCAGAAAAGTGAGTAACACACAAATGTATGGTCCTACCCACTCAACACTAATGGACCTCTCGATCTGCCAGGCACTCACAAGTACTAAGATCTCCCTTTCACCAGTCAAGGTGATGCTTGGACTTGGGAATGGAAAGACAGAGGGCAGCTGAAGGCCCAGAAAGGCCACAGGTATGCCAATCGTCTCCACTGACCCTCACAAGAACACTGGCTGAATCCCACCTTGTCTTCGTGGCTGCAGGGCTTACCCAAAGAAGTGACCATGTGCAGATTGTGGTACCTTTCTTAGGTGTCAAATGCACTGACTGCCCAACTTGCCAATCTCTGTTCAAACCAGCACCATAACCAAACCTGTCTTGCACACCTCTCTCCATCCACCAGCCCACTACTTTATCTGTTTCAGTTTCCGTCAGCTCCCTTCTCAGTCATCTCTTGATTTCAGTCCCTCCTTTCCAACCTCTTGTTGTCACTGGTCTCCCTCCATCTTCCCTCTTCCCAAACATACAAAAACGGTTGATTTAATAAAGTTTAAAGTCCTCACCTACTTTATTCCCCAAATGTTTTTTCAAGTATCAACTAGCTACTGTAGTCAGGCCTGTAATTCTCAAACTGACCTTCCCACTGTATTTCACTGACATGTAAAGGAACCCAATAAGAACTACTTTTGCGCTTTATCCCAGGGTCAGCAAAATCATGCCCAACAGCCAAATCCAGGCAGCCACCATTTTGTAAATAATGTTTACTACAGGCAGCCATATCCACTCTCATCTGTACATGTCTCTGCTGCTTTCCCACCAACACAGAGCTGAATAGTTATGACACTGTGGCCCTCAAAGATGAAAACATTTACTTCTGGTCCTTTACAGACAAAGCCTGCGGACCTCTGGTCCATTCAAATACTTATCCTTCAAGATTACTGTTAGTGTCCCCAAAACACCACAGGCATCTAAGGCTGTTGCACATTTTATAGGAAAACTAGTCGGTACAATAATGAGTTTTTTAAAACCACTATATAAAATATGACAAACTCAAGCTACCACGGCTTAGGAGAACTACACAGAAAAAAAAAACACAGGCTCTGCATATTGCCGTGACTTGGAACTACTATTTTCTCATTTTTTAATTTCAGATGCACACTGAATTAGGAACCCAGCAAGAATGACAGGCTTCAGAGGACTGAGTCACAGTCTGCAGAGAATTGTCACAGTGCAAGCAGGGAAGTGGACATGGACAACTATGACGTCTTCATAAAAAGACTCCAAGACCATGGATCAATATTAATCTCACAAGAAAGTGAAGCTCATGTAGTTTACAAACCAACACTGGTTAAAATAAGTACTACTTATTGTACTTTCCTTTATTTATACTTTACATAATCCATAAATGTCTACTAAAAACCAACTAACTTTAGTTCAAGACTTGGATAATCCTGATGTTACTGCTAAGAGAATGATTACAGCTGTTTTAAGATTATCAACAACTCTGTTCAATAAAAAAATAAATCAACATACCAGTGAGAGCCAACTGCTCTGAAGGATGGAATTTTATAGAATTTACTGCAAAACAAAAATATTACACAAACAGATTTAAAATAAAACATCGCCAATATCTATTATAGATTGCAAAGTTAAATTTAAAAACTACGGTAGTTCAATGTTAGATCCTCCCATTCAGTTAAAAACTATGAATAAATGTGTAAATTAGAGAGATCTGAGAAATAATAAAAATGCCTAATATCAGCTATCAAATTGCTAAAGTATAGGAAACACAGAAAAAGAATATTAAGAATCCATTTCTGCCCTGACCAGTTTGGCTCAGCGGTTGGAGCGTCGGTCTGCGGTCCAGAGACCGGGGTTAGTTCCCCGCTAAGAGCACATATCTCGGTTGCGATTTGTCCCCGGCCCTGGATGGATCATGCGAGTGGCAGCCACTCAATGTGTACCTTTCACATCGATGTTTTCTCTCTCTCTCTCTTTCTCTCTCTCCCCCCCACTCACTCTATCTGAACAAAAAATGGAAAAATGCGCACTGCTGGTGAAACAAAAGCAAAGCGTCCACAGGTGAGCATTAAAAAAAAAATTTGGGGGGTGGGGGGGTGGGAAGAGATAAACCACAGAACTTATATGCATGTATGCATAACCAATAGACATGGACAACAAAGTCGGGGACAGGGCGAGGATAGGGTGGGGAGGGGGGGTGCCAGTGGGGTAAAAAAGGAGAAACATCTGTAACAAAAAAATAAATAAATAATTTTTAAAAATAAATATCAAAAAAAAATTTTTTTAATAAAAATAATCCATTTCTTTTTATCCATAGAACAGGCATCTAGAGTTAAAGATAATCTGCAGAGTCCAGTGGGAGAAACTGTACTGCCCACCCAGCAGCCCTAGGTCATGCCCTCCTTCCCAGCTCTCACAACCCTGCTGTCCGGTCACCCGAGGAAGCCAGACTTCACACCCACGCCTGAAAGGAGCTGTGGGGCCCATTCACAGAATGTAAGACATTTTTCCCAGACTTCAACAAGTTCTCTCCTTCAGTGAGATTCAGTTAGCTACACCATTAGAATTATATTTTTCTAAGGAACTGAAAAATGCAGAAAATGCAGTTTTACTGTTAACACTAAACAACAGGTAACTGTGGGAGGAGCTGGTAAAACAACGAACTATGATGCTCAGACCATCACCACACCCCTAACAGAGTAACAGTGCTCCCAATTTCAGTAAGATCAGTGCTGGAGAGAAGGTGGAGCAGCCAGAACTCACCTGCACTACTGGTGAAACAAAAGCTAAGGGTGGGAGCACACACTCTGGAGACTATTTGCGGGTATCTGCTCAAGCTGGTCACCATGAACTGCCCGCATGGAAACATGCACCACACAAAATGACCATACATGTGAGCATCCTGGGCCCCATGGGCGGGACTGAACAGGAGTTCACTGCATGTCAGTCCCCTCCCGCCCTCATCTTCACCTCCTCATTTCAACCGAAGACAGGCTCACTTTCTTGACACGTTGGTAGTGGGGACACCCCTAACTCTAGAAGCAAAAGTTACACGCCACCTAGAAATTTGTCTACAAGGGTTCAGGAGATGGAGGTGGGTGATTAGGGGTAGTGAGCCAGGGGGCCACCTGAAAGACCACTGGAGATGATGCACTACAGATGGAAGGACCCACAAAGGGAGTGGGACAAGAGTGGGTGAAATTTGGTCAGAACACATGGACATGCAGGGTACATTGAAAAGGCAGTGACGAGCTGCTACATTAACTACAACACTAATGGCAGGCAAGGGCCCAGGACAGACAGCAGCCTGCATTGGGACCAAATACAGGAAAGTGAATCCCTACAGTGACTACAGAGTTTTTGATAAATAACGCACATATTTCAGTTTCAAAACTGTCTACATGTACCTTTCTGTGCAACACTAAAAAACAAAAAACCACAGACATCTCCTATCTGATGTTGTTTAGGGAGCTGAGCTTTCTCTTTGTGAAGCCTACACTTAAAGGCACAGTGTCTGTCTATAAAAATGCCCCACTGTCCTGACATGAACTCAGCAAACCTCCCATCTGGAGATCTGTTGATGTCATAGCACTTACCTGACCCCACATGGCCAGTGTACTTAATGAGGCTCCTCCCTGTCTCGATGCTCCACAGCAAAGCTGTGTGATCTGCAAATTGAAACAAATAAGAGAAACTGAGCCATCGCTGCCTACACAGTCTTTTTAATTAAAGAGTAAGATAAATATTCTAAAAATGAGAAGTTGCATTACTGTTACTCTCTCTTGCAACTCTAATTATATTATTCTGTAATTCAACTAATCAAAGAAAACACTTCCAAAAAGATGGGAGAAGCTGGTGACTTGTCTGAGGTCATTAATGGGCAAGGGGAAAACTACGGTCCTGAGTTCCTATTCACTGCTACACTGACTGCACCCCACTAGAAACTTAAACATAGGTCATTTACATCCTAGGTTCTTTTTTTTTTGGTGAAATATTAAAACTTTTCAGAACATCATGCAATATTCAAATGCAAATAGCACCCAAATATAGTTCTAAATTATTTGAGATTTAATAAACATTCCTTTGGATGTTTTTACTTATGGGCATAACAAAAAAATAAAAATTAAGACTTAATAGGAAAATCTGAAAAATAAATGCATATTACCAAAATGAGATTTCAGAGACATCAGAAAAGAATCTTTTTATTCTTCTTCACTAGTTGTAATTTCCGTAAAAACAACCTGGAATGCTCATGTACAAACAGAGTTTTAAACAAGAGAAAAACTTTCTTCATCATTCTTACTAGTTTTACATTTTCTATTTCCACTTGAAAAAGCAGAATCTAGTGAGTAACTTGTCACAGCTGGAAAAGTCATTTCCAACAAGTGGGTACCATTTTTAATTTTAGCAATTTTTATCTGAAGAGGTATTATTAGACAGCTTTCAAAAAATGCCTTTTCTGCCTGGGGCAGTTTGGCTCAACGGTTGGAGCATCAACCCACAGACCAAGGAGTTGCAGGTTCGATTCCAGTCAAGGGCACATACCTCAGTTGTGGTTCGTCCCTGGCCCTGGTCGGGGTCATGTGGGAGGCAAACAATCAATGTGTCTCTCTCATATCGATGTTTCTCTCTCTCATATCGATGTTTCTCTCTCTCTCTCTTTCTCTCTCTCCCTCAAATTGTATCTAAAGATAAATGAAAAAATATCCTCGGGTGAGGATTTTTTTTAAAAAGCCTTTTCTTTAATTTAAAGACGGGTCTAACACCTACCCTGTGAGTCCCACAGGCAAACTCAGGACAGCAGCAGTACCCACTCCCCTAAAAGCTGGTACAACAGTCCCCCTTTAGAGATCACATAGCAAACCTCACAAGTGGGAAAAATATAAAATGTACTTTCAAAAGAAGATACACAGTTAGCTATGAATAACAAGAAAGCCAATCAAAAAAATTCCTAATATGGCCCTGGCTGGTTTGGCTCAGCAGTTGGAGCATCCGCCCTCCAACCAAAGGGTCGCGGGTTTGATCCCTGGCCCGGGTCGGGGTCATGCGGGAGGCAATCAATTGATATGTCTCCCTCACATCACTGTTTCTCTCTCCTTCTCTCTCTCACTCTCTCATCCCATTCCCTTCCAACTCTATCTAAAAATCAGTGGAAAAATATCCTTGGGTGAGCATTAAAAAAAAACAAAAAAACCTAATATGTTTAAAAGACATTCTACCGTCTGCTGCCTCAGTGATTCCTTAACACAGCTAGCTATATCCCATGGAGACGGACGAGGCATCACACCCACAGGCTGCGGAAAGCCCTAGAGGGGTATCACAACTAAGCACTAATTCAAGGCTGAGCCCTTTGTTCAAATGACTGCTCAGCCAAGTCTGCTCCCAGGGTCACTCTGCTATCAACACCCAAAGGTCAAGCATTCGTGTCAGCTGTTATGCAGTCATGTGTGACAAGCTTCGGGGCGAGCTCTGGACTCACCAGCAGATGCGGTCCCCAGCACCACGGGCTGTGTCCTTGCCACACTGACATCCCAGATGCCATCCCTGTGGCCGATGTACTCCTTCACTAGCTGGCACACAGCCCTCGATGTGGTGGCCTTGAAGCTGGAGACAATCTAAAATGGTGAAAGGAAGGAATATTGTACACAATTTACTGAGCAAAATTTTTTTTTTTTTATCCTCACTCGAGGACATTTTTCCATTTTTTGTTCAGATAAGGTGGGAGGGGGAGAGAGAGAGAAACATCGACGCAAAAGGGACACATCGAGTGGTTGCCACCCACACGACCCAACCTGGGCCGGGGACAAACTGCAACCGAGGTACGTGCCTTTAGCGGGAACCGAACCCTGGTCTCTCGGAACCATTGGCCGACGCTCTAACCGCTGAGCCAAACCGGCCAGGGCCTGAGCAAATGTTTTTAAATTAAAAGAGAATGCCTTGAGCCCTGCCCGGTGTGGCTCAGCGGTTAGAGCGTTGGCCTGCGGTCCAGAGAGACCCGGGTTCGGTTCCCGCTAAGGGCACGTACCTCGGTTGCAGTTATCCCGGCCCTGGTTGGTCGTGCAGGTGGCAGCCACTCGATGTGTCCCTTTCACATTGAGTTTCTCTCTCTCTCTCCCTCCCTCCCACTCTATCTAAACAAAAAATGGAAAGGAAAAAAAAATGTCCTCGGGTGAGGATAAAAAAAAAAAAAAGAGAATGCCTTGAGCCCAGCCAGTGTGGCTCAGTGGCTGAGCATGACCCATGCACCAGAAGGTCGCCGGTTCAATTCCTTGTCGGGGTACATGTCCGGGTTATGGGCAGGATACCCAGTGGGGGACATGCAGGAGTCGACTGACTGATGTTTCTCTCTCTCTCTCTCCCTCTAAAAAAATCAATAAAAACATGTATTTTTTAAAAAACTATAAAATCAAGTGAAAAAAAACTGGTGGTGTTATACAACTGTTTTAAACTCTGAGCAAAGCACTGAAAAGAGGTCTCAGTCCATTCTTAGTGGAAACACAGCCCACTGTTGAATCAACTCAGGTGTGAGCACCAAGTTATTCCTGACACAGTGGACAACTGAACCGTGTGAGGAGAACCACTCTCACCAGCACTACAGACAAGTTCCATCTGACTTGGCTTAAATATACAAGGAATTGCCCTGGCCAGTTTGGTTCAGTGGTTAGAGCGTCGGCCTGTGGACCAATGAGTCTCGGATTCGATTCCGGTCAAGGGCAAATACCTGAACTGCAGGTTCGGTCCTTGGCCCCAGTCAGGGTCATGCAGAAGGCAATCACATCGATGTTTTCTCTCCCACCCGCCCTCCCACTCTGTCTGAAAATCAGTGGGAAAATATCCAATATCCTTGGGTGAGGATTAACAAAAAAAGAAAAGGACCTAGTCACCCAGCCAGTGTGGTTCATTGGACTGAGCATTGCCCCATGGACTGAGAGGTCTCGTTTCAATTCCCAGTCAGGGTACATGCCCAGGTTTCGGGCTCAATTCCCAGTATTGGGCGTGCAGGAGGCAGCCGATTGACATTTCTTTCTCTCTCCCTTCCTCTCTAAAAAATCAATAAAAACATATTTTAAAACAAAGGACCTAGTCAACCTCAAACCCATCATCACCTTCTTCTTTTTTAAAAGCTCATATCCTAGTGAACCTAGTCCCTCCACACGGAAACATGCTTTTGCTGCATAGGTGCCATTCATGTGTTAAATAATGTACATTTAGAAAGGAGTAAAAGCCCTGGCCGGTTTGGCTCAGCGGTTAGAGCGTCGGCCTGCGGTCCGGAGAGACCCGGGTTCGGTTCCCGCTAAGGGCACGTACTTCGGTTGCAGTTTGTCCCCGGCCCTGGTTGGTCGTGCGGGTGGCAGCCACTCGATGTGTCCCTTCACATCGATGTTTCTCTCTCTCTCTCCCTTCCTCTCTCTCCCTCCCACTCTAGTTGTACAAAAAATGGAGAAATGTCCTCGGGTGAGGATAAAAAAAAAAAAAAAAAAAAAGAAAGGAGTAAAAAATCGCACATCCCACTCCCACAATAAGTGGTAGCAAGTTTAAAATTCCAAGCCTGCCATTTCTCACAGACTACATGAGGATGAGAAATGATCTACTGGAACCACATCTGTCACCGATTCCACAGGGACAGTAAGGACCACAGTGCACTGACACACAAAAACCCTATTTCTGGTGGAATTTTGGAAGAGGTAATAGTTCATGAACACTAACATATTGCTCCATGTGCTGCTTCCTAATTAATGCTCATTACATGGTGACCTCCTCTTAACTCTTTGTTCTTAAAAGTGTTGACTTAGCCACAACTGCAAGGAGGTCCCACAAAGACTGAACTACTTACTCAGAGGGAACATCCATGACAGAAAAACAACAGAATGAATGAAGTAGTACATGGACACTTAACCTGTCACCCTATCATTTTAACTGACATAGAATTTACACTACTTTAACAAAATCCAATGTGTGAACATTTTCACAAGTTTCTTTCAAGTGGTTTGCCAGTTAGATTGTCATGCCTACCTGCCTCCCTCTCAAGAGGCATTAGAGATGGTCATCAGCCATTCAGGAAACCTCTCCTGCTTTGCTCAATGAACTTCAGTTTTGCGCTGTCACCAACCATGCTACCCACTTACTGGCTGAGTCAGAAGAGAGAAGTAAATAAACCCAAACCACAGTATCTGCCTATAGCACCATACTAGAGCTACTACCCAAAACATGTGTAACACCAACCAGAATACATTCTGATGTCATATAATTTCTCCCATTTTCAAATGTCACATATTTTGTGTTATTCTTTAAGATGGGTACACATACACTGTGCACAATGATATAAAGATCACTGCTGACGTACTTCTCAAAAATTCAGATCAATTTCTAGTATCCAAAATGACTGGGCTTTAAATATCTCTAATACATTTTTTTAAAGCTAAGTGTTATTGTACATAACCTTACCTTTGCCCCAATCTTATTTTTCACTGTTCATGGTGAGGGATAATTTTATATAATCCTTTATTCCTCTACTTCAGAAATTATCAGATAGTTTTTGGCATTTTAAGACCTTACATTATATTGCCCAGCAGATGTGGCTCAGTGGATTGAGCATTGTCCCATGGACTGAGAGGTCCTGGCTCGATTCGCAATTAGAGCAAATACTCAGGTTGTGGGCTCGTTCCCCAGTAGCGGGCATGCAGGAGGCAGCCGGTAAGATGTTTTTCTCTTACACTGATGTTTATATCTCTCTTTCCCATCCTCTCTTAAAAAAAAAATAATAATAATAATAAAAACAATTTTTTTAAAAAAGAAGACCTTACTTCCGGTCGGTGTGGCTCACTGAGCATTGACCCATGCACCAAGAGGTCACCAGTTCAATTCCCAGTCAGGACACGTAACCAGGTTGTGGGACAAATCTCCAGTGGGGGGCATGCAGGAGGCAGCCAATCAGTGTTTTCTTCCATCAATGTTTCTCTCTCTCTCTCCCTCTCACTTCCTCTCTCTCTAAAAATCAATAAAGGGGAAAAAAAAAATTTTCTTTTAAAAGACCTTACATTAAATACATAAACTAGAACCACCAACTAAACCACATAACTCAAGATACTATAACAAGAAGTTAAATGAGTAAGAACATAATCTCACTGCATTTTTTTAAGTTTAACATTAATTTATTAAAAACTTCAAATCTAGACCTGGCCATTTTGGCTCAGCAGGTAGAGAGTCAGCACACAGACTGAAGGGTCTCAGGTTCAATTCCTGGTAAGGGCACATACCTGGGTTGCAGGTTCAGTCCCTGGCCCCTAGTCTGTCAGGGTTGTACGGGAGGCAACCAACCAATGTCTCTCTCACATCAATGTTTCTCTCTCTCTCTCTCTCCCTCCATCCTTCCTTTCTATTAAAAAATAAAATAAAAATAAATAAAAACTTCAAATCTAGTAACTAACTGTAAGCTAAACACATGAAGACATTTAATTAGCCATGCAGTCCTAGAGTTACAAAAAAAAAAAAAAAAAAAAAACCCACAAGAAAAGGTCAGTAATACTCAGATTTTTAATTAAGAATTACCAAAGACTTCCAAGTAAGGAGAACTAGAAAGACCAAGTCTGCTATATTAACTGCAGTTAATCCCACTCTGGATGTCATGGGAAATAACTTTAAGCTCGGGGAACAAACCGGAAAAATAGAAAGCTAACAATAACTATTTATGCCTTCATAGCAGACTCACCACATTTAAACTTTCCTTCAGGTTTAGAAAAGGAATGTATACTCGTTAAGGTTAGGTAATTAATTTACCTTTCATATATTCAAAATACTCCAAAGTAGAGATGTATACAAAATTACCTCAAAATATTACTTCATAATGGTAATCCCTCATAGACAAATCAATTTCCAAATAATTAAATCCTGCCACTTTAAGAAGGTCAGAACAAGATGATTTAAGAAAAAGTAAAATACCACCAAAACCTGCCTTGGAGACAAATCTTTCCTAATCATACTTGGAAATTTAGAGAAGGTGAACTAAAATTTAACTAGTTCAGAATGTAATTTTTCATTGCTTTATGCCCACTTAATAGTTTTCTCCAAATTCAGAGTCCCCTATATCAAGCCAAATACAAATACAAATACAAAATGTATTTTTCCTCAAAAAAAGACATATTTACTGATGTATAAAGTATTAATCTCTACAGGTATTGGTATCTAGCTGTCTATAAACTGTGGCCATTTAACAAATCTATGATATGCCTTCTAAAAACTGATTTAACACCAGGAGTTTATCTTTTTCTATCACATATTTCTAATTGAAAAATATGTAACTTAGAGTGCTCATGTGCCCACCTTAACCACCACATGGCCAGCCCTCGAGCCAGTGTCTTGCATACCTTGCTGGTGGAGGCCTTGTAAGTGGTCTTCAGCTTCTGAGAAAGCTGGCTGGTACTGTGACTGGCTGCCAAGACAGAGAATCGAAAATCAATACAGCCATACAACCAAGGAGCCACAGGCTTTCAGAGCCGTGACATAACTGCAGACATTAATGCGACTGTCCATTCCACATGGTAGGCAGTTTGTCCATGCAGACACAGGGGCAACAGCAGGGCTGGAACAGGAGCCCAGCTTCCAGGCAATTCCTTCTTCCCTCTATGCCCACACATAAATTATGATTCAAGTAATGCTGACCACAAAATCAATGAATCATGTCCTGCGTTAAATTCCAAATTCCCTCCACAGTAATCTACAGAGCATCCTTCACAAGCAACCCCCTTACCTTTAGTTTTCAGTTGGCCCTTACTCAGCTCTGTCCCATCAATCACTTGTCCTTCAGCAGCTAAACGCTCATTGAGAGTCTCAATTTCTCTACGCACTGGAAATAAAAAAATTTTCAAAAAGGTAAAGTATGTACTTTTTATGTTTAAATATACTGACCACTTCTAAAACTTGAGCACATAAAAATGTTATATATTACGTTGTCTAAACAAAGACATGAATAATATACTGTAAACAAGATCACTTTATAGAGTTCTCAAAAAACTCCAGTTATCATTCCAAAAACAAACTCCCATGATCTTCCTACACACGGAAAACATGATGCTATTAGCACCGCTCTTGGATTTCAACATAGTTCCCTTCCTTTGCACTTCATTTTATATATTTAAAAACATTATCCTGACACTTTCCAAAACTCAATATAATATTTACAGTCTAGCTGAGAATACTGAAATCAAGGGGGAAAAAACATAAAATGAAAAACACAACCATTGTTGCATGGCACCACAGAGCACCAACTAAGGATTATATATAAGAAAGAATAAAAACTGAAGTAATGAATCCTGGCCAGTTTGGCTCAGCGGTTAGAGCATCGACCTGCAGTACAGAGACCCGGGTTCGGTTCCCACTAAGGGCATGTGCCTTGGTTGCAGTTTGTTCCCGGCCCTGGTTGGGTTGTGCGGGTGGCAGCCACTCGATGTGTCCCTTTCACGTTGATGTTTCTCTCTCTCTCTCTCTCTCTCTCTCTCTCTCTTCCTCTCTCTCCCTTCCACTCTATCTGAACAAAACATGGAAACATGTCCTCAGGTGAGGATAAAAAAAAATAAGAAAAAAACTGAAGTAATGAAAAATAAATAGAAGTAGAGGCATATGGCAACAAAAGAGAATGAAGAAGAAGGACATCAGCTATAAAAAAGAGACTGAGCAGAGGCAGTGAAAGAAGGAAGCAGACAATGGCTGTGCTTTGGACGAATGCCATTACCCCATTATCCACCCTGTACAGATGAGGAAAAAAGGCCAGTGGGATAAGGGACTTGTCCGAGGACACAACCTACTGCAGTCATGCAGCTGGACCCCACCTAGCCACAGATCCACCCAGCACTAAGGCTATGTACCTGCCATGCTGCCTCCTAGGCCTGGACAAGATCTGTTCAGGCTCCAGTGAGGCAAAGCATCTGGGAGAAGTACAAATGAGATGAGTTAAAAAGAAGGTCGAGCACAAAAGGCTCTGAACAAATCCAGTCTGAGCAATTTCAACTATCTCACAGGCAACAGGAAGCCACTGAACCTTGTCATCTGTAATCCTAGTTTTTCTTGAACAAACTGTAAAAATTCATAAAATATAAGGCCTTAGATCACAATGGAAACTCAATAATACTTGGATCCATACAACTCTGATACTTTTAAAAAATGCTTAAAATCCAATGCAGTACAGAGTACCTAATTTTTATTTTTTTTTATTTTTTTTTATTTTTTTTATCCTCATCCGAGGACATTTTTCCATTTTTTGTACAGACAGAGTGGGAGGGAGAGAGGAAGAGAGAGAAAGGGAAACATCGACGTGAAAGGGACACATCGAGTGGCTGCCACCCGCACGACCAACCAGGGCCGGGGACAAACTACAACCGAGGTACATGCCCCTAGCGGGAACCGAACCCGGGTCTCTCCGGACCGCAGGCCGACGCTCTAACCACTGAGCAAAACCGGCCAGGGCCCTAATTTTTATTTTATAAATGTTGGACCGGCCAGTGTGGGTCAGTGGTTGAGCATCCACCCACACACCAAGAGGTTGTCAGTTCGATTTCCAGTCAGGGCACATGTCCAGGTTGTAGGCCCAATCCCCAGTGGGGGGCATGCAGGAGGCAGCCAATCAATGTTCTTTCTCATGGATGTTTCTATCTCTCTCTCCCTATCCCTTCCTCTCTCTCTAAAATCAATAAAGAAAAAAAACATTTTTTATGTAAATTTCCAAGATGGACTTACAAGAAAAATCCAATATCAAAACATTAAATTTTCCAATGGCAAAGTTTAAATGACATAGGATTGATTACCCTCTCTTCGCTTAGTTCTAGAGTGAAAATATTTTAATAATACAAAAGCTATTTATTAGTATTCAATTTTTGGATGAAAGACCTGATTATAGTTAAAAATTTTATAAACACAAACCCTGTGAAATAACAAAAACTAGAAAGTAATGGAACAGTGAAGGGTAAAGGACACATCATTTCCTAACATCTTGCAAAGTATGACTGCATGTGGCCTAACGCTGTCAGAGCAAAAAACAGTAGATTAAGTTTATAAAAAGGACCTAAAAGCAAAAAATGCAGCAAATGGTTTCCTTTGCAGAGTGGGATGGGTCAAAAAGCGGTACTGGCAGATATCTTTCCTTTTTTTTTTAACTTTTTTTCTTTATTAATTTAGAGAGAGAGGAAGGGAGAGGGAGAGAGAGACAGAAACAGTGATGCGAGAGAACACTGACTGGCTACCTCCTGCATGCCCATGCCCCCCACTGGGGATTTGGCACACAACCCGGGCATGTGCTCTGTCTAACTGAGAATCCATCCAGCGACCTCTTGGTGCATAGGTCAACACTCAACCACTAAGCTACTCAGCCAGGCTATCTTTCCTTTTGACTTTTTTTTTTAATCCTCACCCAAGGACATTTTTGCATTCAACTTCAAATAGAGTGGGAGGGAGAGAGGGAGGAAGAGAGAGAAACACATCGACGTGAGAGAGACACATCGACTCGTTGCCGCACACACGACCCCAACCTGGGCCAGGGACAAACCCCAAGCAAGGTATATGCCCTTAGCAAACACCGAACCCAGGACTCTCCGGTCCACGGACCAACAGTCTAACTGCTAAGCCAAATCGGCCAGGGCTATCTTTCCTTTTTATACTGCTTGATTCTTTCTTCTTGTTGTTGTTAATCCTCACCCAAGGACATTTTTTCCACTGATGTTTAGAGAGTATGGAAGGGAGGGGGAGATGGTGAGAGAAAAGAAACATCAATGTAAGAGAGACCCATCGATTGATTGCCTCCTGCACACACTATGACTGGAGCCAGGGATCGAACCTTGATTAGGAATCGAACCCACAACCTTTCACAGGTGGGCGCTCTAACCAATGAACCACACCAGCCGAAGTTATACTACTTGATTCTTTAAGGCAGCAATTTCCAACAGGTGTGCCGCAAGAATTTTTAAGACATGCCATTCCTGGCCATTTAGTCAGGGGCAGTGACCTCTTTTCCCTTAGACTGTCAAATGAAAATTTTAAAAAATGACAACAGCTGCCCTGGTCATTTTGGCTCAGCAGTTAGAGCATCAGCCTGCAGACCAGAGTGTCCTGGGTTCGGTTCCCGCTAGGGTCATGTACCTCGGTTGCAGTTTATCCCTGGCCCCAGTTGGGGTCATGTGGGTGGCAACTACTCGATGTGTCTCTCTCACATTGTTGTTTCTCTCTCCCTCTCTCTTTCCCTCCCGCTCTATCTGAAGATAAATGCAAAAAAAAATTGTCCTCGGATAAGGATAAAAAAAGAAAAAATGACAACAGCCAACACCATAATAGCCATCCAGTGTGAACAAATCAAAATTATACCTTTTTGTAAGATCAGCAAAAAATACATTTTTTGGCATGCAAAAGAATTTTAGTAACTAGTTTTCGTGTACCATGAGATGAAAAAGGTTGAAAAGTACTCCTTTAAGGAAATGAAAGCATTGCTTCTAAAATAAATTTTTTTAGATTACATTTTACATTCAATATTAGTTTGTATTAGTCTCAAGTGAATAAAAATTGTTTTAAAAAAACTAAAGACAAGATGGCCAACCCTGAGGATCAGGTGTCAAAACAGAAGGTATGCATAGCTGCTAAATTGATCACTCGTGACCCCCCCAGGGGAATTTAATGAAGTATTCAATAGTGTCTGGCTACTACTTCATAATGACAATCTCCTTAGGGAAGGGACAGCACATGCATTTGCCCAGTATGATGTGGATCAGCTCATGCCTGTGAAGATAGAAGGATATAAAGATTGGGTCTTAATTATAGAATACAGACTGGGTAATAGCAGGTTTTCCGATCCAAGAAACAAAATGTCCTTTAAGTTTGATCACTTACAAAAAGAAGCAAGTGACAAGTGACCCCCAGCAAGAGGAAGCAGAAAGAGGTCTGAAGTCTTGGAGAGAAACCTGTGACAGAGCTTTAAGGGCTTATGTGAAAGATCATTATTCCAACAGCTTCTGTACTGTTTATGCTAAAACTACATAGATGGGCAACAGGTCATTATTGCATGTAATTGAAAGCCACCAGCTTCAGCCTAAAAACTTCTGGAATGGTCGCTGAAGATCAGAATGGAAGTTCACCATCACACTACCTACAGCCCAGGTAGTTGGAGTACTTAAGATTCACTATTATGAAGATGGCAATGTTCAATTAGTCATAAAAATGTACAGGATTCAGTAACTGTTTCGAATGAAGTCCAAACTACCAAAGAGTTTATTAAAATCATAGAGCATTCAGAAACTGAGTATCAGACAGCAGTTAGTGAAAATTATCAATGTCAGACACCATATTCAAGGCCTTGGGCGGCAGCTTCCAGCTACCCACACCAATATAAAATGGAACAAGATACTCAGCCATATGATTGGCAAAGAAATGTAGAATGCTTAAAGGCTGAATGTAGGATTCTTCAGTACATGGAAAGAAAGATTTCAATGTATGGTCATATAACAAGTGATTAATAAACAACAATATTTTGCTAGCCCTTTGAAAGTTAACGGATTTTCTAGCCTCATGGAATACTGCTGAATCTATAGCATTGTCTTGATACTCTATCCTGCAAAGCTATCATTTAGAATTGATGACCATATGAAGAGTTTCCTAGACAAGAAAAAGCTATAGGAGTTCACCACCAAACCAGTATATGAAATGTTGATGGGTCTTCTTGGAGAAGAACAAAAATATGAAAAATAAAATGGCAATAAATACTTATCTATCAACAACTGACTCTACAAATAAAATGAGCAACGAGACCAGAAACAGACTCATAGATACAGAGAACTTTTTTTTGGTTGGCAGATGTGAGGGAGGCTGGGGGGATGGGTGAAAAAGATGAAGGGATTAAGAAGTACAAATTGGTTGTTAGACTGATGAACCTCAAAGGGAAGGGGGCATGTGGGATGGGAAGAGAGAAACCAAAGAAATTGTATGCATATATGCATAACCAATGGACACAGACAATAGTGTGGGGAAGGCAGGAGGGGGTTGGAAGTGGGGAGGAGGGAGTCAAGGGGGGAAAAAAGGAGGGGCATCTGTAATACACTGAACAATAAAGACAAGTTTTTAAAAAATTAAATTAAATTAAATTTTAAAAAAAGAAATAACAGGTACCTTGTGCTTTAATACATTATGGCAGGATTGTAATTTAAGTAAATGAATCAAACAACTATGTAAATCACAAACAAAATCTAAAAATGAACCAAAGTAAAAAGGGTAACCTCAAGGAAGTATCTTTCTATTGTAACCTGTTATTAAAGGGAATACTAGTGATTTGTTCTAAGTAGGATGTAAAACTTGTTTCAAATTACTTTTTCTCAGTCCTGCCTGCCAAAAACTTGAATGTAACGGTGATACAGCAACCCTTCCCAGGTATACTGCCAGGTGTATGTGTGATCTCAGAAACACAGGTAACAATGATACGATATGACAACTGAAATGATGGATTCATTTACATTGTTTGCACTTCTATGACCAGGCCATAGGAAAGGTCAGTTTTTTAAAAAGTATTATCTTCGTACCTATTTCCATATATATGTCAAAAAGAAGGGTGTTTATGCTTCAGCTTTGTTTTCATTCAGTAATTAATACAGTTAAGTAAGAGTTTGTTTCCAAGTGACCCATTGACCTATGTAAACATTTTTATTTCAAATATATTTGTATTGTCAAAAAAAAAAAAAATCCACAAGATAATTAAAAATTCTTTCCATTTAACTTATAAAGTAAATAAATAAACGTTTTAGGAAATCCTCAGAATATGGCATATTTTAAAAGAAAAAACAAAACCATGAATTAACATTTTCATATTTATAGTATACTTTATATAAACTGCATTTTTTTTTCTGTATTGATTTTAGAGAGAGGAAAGGAGAGAGAGATGGAAACATCAATGAGAGAACATTGATTGGCTGCCTCCTGCATGCCCCCCACTGGGGATTTAGCCCACAACCTTGGCATGTGCCCTAAACAGGAATCAAACCAGCGACCCCTGGGTCCACGGGTCGAGACACACCAGCCAGGCAGATGCATTTATTTTTATAAAATCAAAATTTGGATCAACAGGTATGGTCAGTATAATACTGCCCACCCCAAAGATAACCTGCGAACATGACCTTGTGGCAAAGTGGCCCAGCAGGTGTAACTAAAGTGAAGAACCATCAATGGGGAAATCAACCTACATGACCCATTGGCCCATCCTTTGCACATGCCCTTAGAAGTGGGTCAGAGATGCACCAGGAGGACTCCACCACCACTGATGGAGGAGGAGGAAAGGCTCTGAGCCACTAAGCACAACAGGCTCTAGACACTGGGAACACCAGCAAAAAAAGTAGGGACCACTGTCCTCACTGCAAGTAACTGAAATCTGCCACAATCCAAACAAGCATAAAGAGATTCCTTCTAGCCCTGGCCGGTTTGGCTCAGTGGTTAGAGAGTCAGCCTGCGGTCCTGAGAGACCCGGGTTCGGTTCCCGCTAAGGGCACGTACCTCGGTTGCAGTTTGTCCCCGGCCCTGGTCGGTTGTGCGGGTGGCAGCCACTCGATGTGTTCCTTTCACATCGATGTTCCTCTCTCTCCCTCCCACTCTAACTGAACAAAAAATGGAAAAATGTCCTCGGGTGAGGATAAAAAAAAAAAGAGAGAGATTCCTTCTAACACATACAGAAGGAACACAGCTCTGCCCAGATCTGACTTTAGTCTGCAGAGCTGTAAGATAACAAATTATGTTATTCGAAGGCACTAAGCTTAATATAGTAGCAGAAAACAAATATAGTGGTGAATGTCCACCCACAAATTTGACTCTCAAAGATTTTTAAGTGAAAAGTTATAAAAGTATATTAAGACAAGAGATACTCGCCCTGGCTGGTTTGGAGTATTGGCCCACAGAAGAAAGAGTTAGGTTCGATTCCGGTCAAAGGCATGTACCTCCAATGCGGTTCGGTTCCCAGCCCTGGTGGGGGTCGTTTGGGAGACAGCTAATCAATGTGTCTCTTTCATATGGATGTTTCTCTTTCTCCCCCTCCCCCACTCTATCTGAAGATAAATGGAAAAATGTCCTTGGGTGAGGATTAAAATAAGTGAACTCTTAACAAACTTATCTCATTTGAGCCTCATAAAAACCAGATGGCAGTGTTAGTTCCATTCAAAAATAGTAAAGACAGGAGATACTCACATTCTAAGTTTTCAATATAAAGGTTTTCAAATTCTCTTTCTATTTGACCAAACAGTTCCAAAAGTGTACTGCGAACTGAGGACGGCAGTTTAGAATCCTGTAGAAAAGGAAGATTTTGTTTAAAAAGCATGAATGAATGAGAAACTCTGATACCAAGTACCAACACATCTTTTTCCAAAGTGAATTATCTTTTATCTTAAGCTCATTTTATATCTTTAGATGTTTTATTTCTTATACATAAAATGCTTAAAGACCTTTAAGTTTCAAATTTCTATAGATAAGACTAAAATCAAATTGTACAAATGGTTACCAAGGATAATATGGGATTAACGAATAAGCACTTCTTCAAAACAACATAATTTTTCTTTATTCAAGGTAGGAAATAGACTACCTTATTTTAAAACTTCCAAATTTGTAGAGAAGGCATGCAGCTCTCATAAATAAAATTATATTATGCCCTGGTCAGTTTGGCTCAGTTGGTTTGAGCTTTATCCCATACACCGAAAGATCTGGGTTCAATTTTCAGTCAGGGCACATATAAGAGGCAATCGATCATTGTTTCTCTCACATCACTGTTTCTCTCTCTCTCTCAAAAATCAATGAACATATCCTCACCTGAGCATTTTTAAATTACATTATAATTAGACTTTAAATTCTATCATATAGTATTATAAATTATTTTTAATAAGTTCTATACTCCTAGAAAATGTTCCTTATAGAATCCTCATGTTCACTGTTCTTCAAGGAAAAGATTTCCTATAACTGTAAGTAATACCTAAAAGATTATCATGAAGAGAGAAAAAAGAAAAAGTTTACCTGTAAAAGCAAAATGTCTATCAATTAAAAGAAAACATTACTGCCCTGGCTGGCTTGGCTTAGCGGTTAGAGCATCAGCCTGCGGTGCAGAGAGACCCGGGTTCAGTTCCCGCTATGGGCCTGTACCTCGGTTGCAGTTTGTCCCCAAACCTGGTTGGGTCGTGCGGGAGGCAGCCACTCGATGTGTCCCTTTCACATCGATGTTTCTCTCTCTCTCTCTCTCTCTCTCTCTCTCTCTCTCTCTCTCCCTCCCTCCCTCCCTCCCTCCCTCCCTCCCTCCCTCCCTGGCTCCATCCCTCCCTCCTAATCCATCTGAACAAAAGATGGAAAAGTGTTCTCGGATGAAGATAAAAAAAAAGAAAAGAAAACATTACCATGTAAGTTCCCAGTTAGCTGCTGGTGTCTATGTGCCTCAGCATGGGCTCTGCACACCTCCAGTCCTCTCTAAACCTCATGGGAAAGTCAGTGGGAAGAAGCACCATCTCAGCTAAATTTTTAGGTATGGTCAAATGAGTAAGCAGTGCCCTAGGCATCAACTGAGCTCACAAGCATTTTCCTTTCAGGCATTGCTAATAACAGGGAGACTGACATGACACAATCTACATTCTACTCTAATCTCCTAAGGATATGGCCTACATATTATAGTATTTTCTGTGTGACCTACTCCCAGAACTTAAGACTATTTTCAAACAAAATTCTTTTTTTTTTAATGTTTTTTATTGATTTTTAGAGAGAGAGAGGAAGGGACAGAGGGAAAGAGATAGAAATATCAATGAGAGAGAACATCGACTGGCTGCCTCCTGGATGCTCCCCACTGGGAATTTGGCCCACAACCTGGGCACGTGCCCTGACCGGGAATTGAACCAGCAACTTCTTGGTGCATGGGTGGACATTCAACCACTAAGCCATACCAGTCAGGCTGAAACAAAACTCTTAATAAATATTTCTAAAATAAGGTTTTAATACTTAACTACTATTAGTGTAATTTTCTAAGTGACTTTTCAAATTTATATGCAGCACAAACTTTTTTTTTTTATCCTCACCGGAGGACATTTTTCCATTTTTTTGTTCAGACAGAGAGGGAGGGAGAGAGAGGAAGAGAGAGAGAGAGAGAGAAACATCGATATGAAGGGACACATCGAGTGGTTGCCACCCACACGACCAACCAGGGCCGGGGACAAACTGCAACCGAGGTACGTGCCCTTAGCGGGAACCGAACCCGGGTCTCTCTGTACCGCAGGCCGACGCTCTAACCGCCGAGCCAAACTGGTCAGGGCAGCACAAACTTTCTGATGCTTAATAAGTCACAAATAAAAAGACATAACATTTATCAAATTCCTTCAGATTAATTTCTTAGGAAGACAAGAATTTTAGGTCAAATGATCTCTAATGACATAAGTGTTTTAGCAGTATGTTTTAAATTAATCACAGAATGCTCAAGTAATTGTAGAAGTTACTTGAAAATAAATGTGAAGCTACTTGTTTACAAACTGAATCTGGTAGAATTGGTTCATGCAGCCTCTCTCAATACCCCTTTAAAATACCAATTAAAAAAAAAAACATGAAAAGCCCTGGCCAGTTTGGCTCAGCAGTTAGAGCACTGGCCTGAGGATCAAAGGGTCACAGGTTTGTTTCTGGTCCAGGGCACGTACCTAGGTTGTGGCTCATCCCTAGCCTTGGTCAGGGTCGGGCAGGAGGCAACCAGTTAATGTGTTACTATCACATCCATGTTTCTCTCTCTCTTTCTCTTTCTCTCCCCTTTCCTCCTCCTCCCTCCCACCCTACCTGAAATAAATAGAAAAAAATCCTCAAGTGAGTGTTAAAAAAATAAATAAAAAACATTAAAAAAGCACTGACCAGTTTGGCTCAGTAGCCCACAAAACCAAAGGTCTCGAGTTCAATTACAGTCAAGAGCACATACCTGATTTACAGGTTCAAGCCCTGGTCCTAGTCAGGATCATGCAGTAGGCAACCAATCGATATGTCTCTCTCACATTGATGTTTCTCTCTCTTTCTCCCCCTCCCTCTCTCGCTCACTTCCTCCCTTCCACTCAATCTAAAAAAATAAATACAAACTTAAAGTAGCCCAGCTGGTGTGGCTCACTGGTTGAACATCAACCCATGCACTAAGAGGTCACTGGTTCAATTACCGGTCGGGGCACATGCCCAGGTTGTGGGCCAGATCCCCAGTGGGGGGCATGCAGGAGGCAGCCAATCGATGTTCTCTCTCATCGATGTTCCCATCTCTCCCTCTCCCTTCTTCTCTCTCTAAAAAATCAATAAAGAAAAAAAAAAAAAACTTAAAGTAACAATGAAAAATAAACTAAACTAAACCATCACAAGTAATGTTGAACACACTGTCTGCCCTACCTTGTGGCCTTTGCATAGTCTCTTCCCTCTCTGTGTGCCATGTTCTTCCTGAACCCCTCATTCAGTTAGCCCTCCTCATAAGTGTCACTCGTTGGAAGTTTTTCTGACTGCCAAGGCCCAACCTCCTCCTATGTTTATCAATTCCAACTGACCTACACCCACAGTATTTAAAATCTTTACTCAGCCACTGAAACATTACATTTACTTAAATAGTAAATGCCTCTTACTATAAAATGTAATTGTAATGGGAGACAAAACTAAGATGTCAGCATTAAAATCATTTGATAAAATAAAGACAATCAAGAAACAACATGTGGTGAAATGAGAACTTTTCCACTAAAGGGCAAGTAGGACCCAGTGAGCACTCCTGACAGAGCTCCTCCAGACCTTTCCTAACAGTTCTTCTAGCGCCATTTGACTTCACAGACCCTGAATTGAGTTTAACTTCTAGTCTCACTTGAGAAAATTCATGACAGAAAAGCTACTACGACTGAGTAAACTTGGAAAGGGATTTGCATTTTACCACAGCAGCATGTACCCAGACACAGACCCCCTCAGTGCTCCGTGCACACAGATTAAGTAGCCCCGTTAAGCAGCCCTGAGCTAAGCACTGCTTCCTAAACTACTTCCAACTCATGAATCTAGGAAGTAACTTACTATAGCTCCTTCACACTAATCTTCAAAACTGATACCCCTCCCCAGCAACTCAAAGAACATGCTGTAACCTCCTCTAAAAAGTGCAGATCTAATATTCAACTCATACCCACTGGACATCAACCACTCTCAGGCCCCTTTGCTTACATCCACCATGCCAACTGTTTGCGTCTCCTACCATTGCTACCATCCTCCCATTGCTAAACCAGGCAAAGCACCTCACACCAGCCATCCAGGACATTGGACTCATCGACAAGTAGGCACCATCCAAGGAACACTGGAGACACAATGATGAGGGCCAAGGAACAGTGCTACGCTATGTGGTTCGGAGGACTCAGAATGGCCTTTATAAATAAATGGTTACCCTGAGATGCAATTACCCACTTCTGCTACACCACAATGGAGGGTAGGCACTCAGAAGGCCAAGAGAAAACATATGTACCTCATATGGAGGGTCATGCTTGGAGATGCTAGCAAAGGTTGTAGAATTTTTCACTGCTAGAAATATACATAAATCTAACCACTGAAAAAACAAATCTTAGACCTGGCAGATGTGGCTGGTTGGAGCGTCATCCTGTATACTACAAGGTCGTGGATTCAATCCCTAGTCAGGGTATGTACAGAGGCAACCAATCAATGTTTCTCTCTCCCTCCCTCAGGTGAGAATTAAAAAACAAAACAAAACATATCTTATACTATTTACCTGCACTGTCCAACATGGTAGCCAGTGGCCACATTTATTTATTTATTTTTAAAGAAAGGCAGACTGCCACATGCAGTGCCTCATTTGCATATGTCATATACCCTAGACTGGAGACCGGTCCTCTCTTATGGGGAAAGGTCCTCCTCTACAACTGAGCACAAGTGCACAGCTTCAGGAGGAATGCACAAGGATAGCGAGGGAAGAGGGGGACACCAGCCTAGCCAGCCAGATCAGCCAAATCAACCCTGGTAATCAATGGGGTAACAGATGTCGCAGCCAGAACATCCTTACATCCCACATTTGACTATTTACATGTAAGTTAATTAATATTAACATATTTTTAATTCCTCAGTCACATGAGACACATGAGGCTTGTGGCTCCACATCTGATAGGACAGATCTAAAATATTCCATCACAGAAGGTACACTACATAGTTCTGTTTCAAACATTGACTTTCTTAAGAGTTATGAGCTGTGTTCTCCCAAACTTATATGTGGAAGTCCTGACCCCCAGCATCTCAGAATATGACTATATTTGCAGACACAATGATTAAGGTAAAATGGGGTCACTGGAGTGGCCCTAATTCAATCTGACTGGTGCCCTTATCAGAAGAGATCTAGACAGATGGACAACCAAATATGTAAGACAAGAAGGAAACAACCATCTATAAGCCAAGAGAGGCCTCAGGAGAAATCAGCCCCACCCTCACATCTTGATCTCCAACTTTCTGCCTCCAGGACGGTGAGAGAATAAAGTTCTATTAAATTTCCTTAGTTTGTGTGGTACTTTGTTACGGCCACCCAAGCTCTCTAACACACTAAGAGTATCAAAGCCATTCTGGAAGCTCCTTAAAAGTCTAAAGTTTTATTTTCAATATGAAGTTAAAATGTATATTCTTTTTTATTCTTTTAATTTTTTTGTTCTTTATTAATTTTAGAGAGAGAGGAAGGCAGAGGAAGAGAGAGATAGAAACATCAATGAGAGAGAACATCGACTGGCCACCTCCTGCATGCCCTCCACTGGGGATTGGGCCCACAACCTGGGCATGTGCCCTGACCGGGAATTGAACTGGTGACTTCTTAGTGCATGGGTCAACACTCAACCACTGAGCCACACCCGCCGGGTAAAATGTAATTTCTTTTAGAAAGCAGAACCAGGTATTTGTTCACTTATTCATCCATTCAATACACATTAATAGGGTTCTAACTGAATATTTACTACATGCCAGCAACTGAACCAGGTTCTGAGTGCTCACTGCTGCCCTCCTAGAAGCCACCTCCTAGAGGCCCAGACCTCAAAGTACCCCACACAGTTCTAACAAGACCCAACAATCCAATGAGCCCATTTCTCAGATTTCAGCCTTATTTCCCTGTAATGTAATGGCCAATGAATTAGTTGTAATTGTGAAGTAACGGTCATAAAACTACATGTATTATATATATGCTAATATAAATATGTATTATAGTTATTTTTTAGTATCAAATATACTTTTATTTAGGTTTCATAATATTCTTTAAAAACTAACATATTTTTTGCCCTGGCCAGTTTGGCTCAGCAGTTAAGAGCGCCGGCCTGCAGACCAAGGAGTCGCGGGTTCGATTCCAGCCAAGGTTACAGGATTCAGTTGCGGTTTGTCCCCGGCCCTGGTCGGGGTCAGCAGGAGGCAACCATTCGATGTGTCCCTCTCACATCGATGTCTCTCTCTCTCTCTCTTCCCTCACCTTCTCTGTCTAAAGATATCTAAAAAAATATCATCAGGAGAGAATTTTTTTAAATTATATATTATATACATATATATTAAAAACTAACATATTTTCATAATAAAGGAACTAGAAAAATTATAAGAAAGCTTACCTGAAAGTTAAGTTAAAATTATAAGAAAACTTATTATCAATAAAATATTAGTTCACCTAATCAAAAGGAGTATCAAATAAATAGCAGATGGCACTTTCACTACAGCAAACTCAGGATAAAGTCAAAAAAACTTACTGAAAGATCTGATTCCAGAAACTCTCCAGAGCACAGAAAGATCACTGGAATGATACCTGATTCTCTTTTTCTTGAGACTATTAGACAACCAAAACTCCACTGTAGAATAGCACAAAGAATACAAACTGATCCGAACTGTCACACTCACTTTTTTTTATTACTATATATTGTAAAAATATTAACCTGGGAATTGAATCCTGTTACTGTGTAGGCTGCTGTATTTGACCGTTTTATTTGGGGGAGGAGGAGATGGGTTTGGTTTGTTTTGTTTTTGGTAACCCATACTTTTTCTCTACTTTGGAGACCTGTATATAGTTGGCTATTTCTGGAACATTACAAACACACTCAGCACTAACTTACTTGTCCCTCTAGCATGTCTCTTGGCAGACCCGTCCTCTCCTGCTCCGAGCTGTTGGTTCTTCGTATAGAAAGGCTATGAGATTTGCGTTTCTGTTTTGCTTGGCGAGCAGTTGAACAACTCCCGCTTTCTGTGGGCATTACTTCTACAAGGTGATATCCTGGTCACTCCTGCAGTAAGCTAGAAAAAAGCAGGAAAAACAAGTACTTTATTTCTGATTACAGAAAATTAAAATGAAGGAAATATAATGGACAAGACAATGACTACTTTTTTTTAATCCTCACCTGAGAATATTTTTCTATTTATCTTCACATAGAGTGGGAAGGAGGGAGGGAGGGAGGGAGAGAGATGGAGAAACATCAATGTGAGAAACACGTCAACTGGCTGTCTTCCGCATGGCCCCAACCAGGGCAGGGGATGAACTGCAATCGAGGCACATGCCCTTGACCGGAATCAAACCTGCAACCTATTGGTCCACCAGCTGATGCTCTTAATGCTGAGCCAGGGCGACAATGACCACTTCTTTTTTAATTCTTGCCTGAGGATATTTTTATATTTATCTTCAGACAGAGTGGGAGGGGGGAAAGGGGAGGAGGGAGAGAGAGGGAGAGAGAAACATCGATGTGAGAGAGACACATCGACTGGTTGCCACCCGCACAACCCCAACGGGGGCCAGGAACGATCCGCAACCGAGGTACGTGCCCTTGGCTAGAATCGAACCTGGGTCTCTTTGGTCCATGGGCCAATGCTCAAACCGCTGAGCCAAACAGGCCAAGGCAACAATGACTACTTTTAATTCCAAACTTCCTTCCTATGGTTAACATTTACTATGTAATTTAGAAAAAGACAAATTAACATGTTTTAAGGTAGAGACCAGAGCCTTTGTTAAGAGGTAATTTTTTTATCAAATTTCATTAACATTTTTTATTTTTATTAATTTGTTTTGTTACAGATGTTTCTCATTTTTCTTCCACCATTAACATTTTTTTTAATTAAATAGTTTAAAATACAAAAAGCTCTCCCTTAATCGACTTTCCCCAGACTCAACCTACTCCCCAGGGGAACCAATTCCAAATGAATGTTCTAGACTATAGATTCTACAGCAGCAATTTTCAACCGATGTGTTGAAAAAATTTTAAAACACACAATACCAGACTATTTAGTAAGGGGTACTGACCTCTTTTCCCTTAAATCAGTGGTTCTCAACCTTCCTAATGCCGTGACCCTTTAATACAGTTCCTCATGTTGTGGTGACTCCCAACCATAAAATTACTTTTGTTGCTACTTCATAACTGTAATTTTGCTACTGTTATGAATCACCATCGAAAATACGTGTTTTCCGCCCTGGCCAGTTTGGCTCAGCGGTTAAAGCGTCGGCCTGCGGTCCGGAGAGACCCGGGTTCGGTTCCCGCTAAGGGCACGTACCTCGGTTGCAGTTTGTCCCCGGCCCTGGTTGGTCGTGCGGGTGGCAGCCACTCGATGTGTCCCTTTCACATCGATGTTTCTCTCTCTCTCTCTGTTCCTCTCTCTCCCTCCCACTCTATCTGTACAAAAAATGGAAAAATATCCTCGGGTGAGGATAAAAAAAAAAAAAAAAAAAAAGAAAATACGTGTTTTCCAATGATCTTAGGCAACCCCTGTGAGAGGGTCGTTTGACCCACAAAGGGGTCGCGACCCATAGGTTGAGAACCACTACCTTAGATTGTCAAATTTTAAAAATGACAATAGCTGCCCTGGCCAGGTTGGCTCAGCTGTTAAAGAGTTGGCCCACGGACCAATGAGTGATGGTTCGACTCCAGTCAGGGGCACATACCTCGATTGCGGTTTGTCTCCAGCCTTGGTCGGGGTTGTGTGGGAAGCAACCAGTCAATGTGTCTCTCTCTCCCTCCCTCCCACTCTATCTGAAGATGAATAAATTAAAAAAATCCTCGCCCTGGCCAGTTTGGCTCAGCGGTTAGAGCGTCGGCCTGCGGTCCGGAGAGACCCAGGTTCGGTTCCCGCTAAGGGCACGTACTTCGGTTGCAGTTTGTCCCCGGCCCTGGTTGGTCATGCGGGTGGCAGCCACTCGATGTGTCCCTTCACGTCAATGTTTCTCACTCTCTCTCCCTCCCACTCTATCTGTACAAAAAATGGAAAAATATCCTTGGGCGAGGATAAAAAAAAAAAAAAAATCCTCGCCCTGGCCAGTTTGGCTCAGTGGTTGGAGCGTCGGCCTGCGGTACAGAGAGACCCGGGTTCTGTTCCCGCTAAGGGCACGTACCTCGTACCTCGGTTGCAGTTTGTCCCCGGCCCTGGTTGGTCATGCGGGTGGCAGCCACTCAATGTGTCCCTTTCATGTCGATGTTTCTCTCTCTCTCTCTTCCTCTCTCTCCCTCCCGCTCTAGCTGAAAAAAAAATGGAAAAATGTCCTCGGGTGAGGATAAAAAAAAATAAAATAAAAAATCCTTGGGTGAGGATTAAAAAAATGACAATAGCCAACACAACAATAGCCATCTACTGTGAATGAATCAAAATTATACCTATATTTTTGTCAGATTAGCAAAAAGTATATTTTTTGGTGTGCCACAGAATTATAGTAATTAGTTTATGTGTGCCATGAGATGAAAAGGTTGAAAATCGGTTCTAGATTAATACAATGCATGCCTCATGTGTAACTGCAAATTTTCTAGTGGCCATGTAAAAAACAGTAAAAATAGCCCTGGCCTGTGTGGGTCAGTTGGTTGAGCATCATCCCATGCCCCGAAGGGTTGCCAGTTCCATTCCCGGTCAGGGCACATACCCAGGTTGTGGGTTCAATCCCCCGTTGGAGTGCATACAGACATAGCTGATTGACGTTTCTCTCTCACACTGATGTTTCTCTGTTTCTCTCCCTCTCCCTCCTTCACTTACCCTTTCTCTAAAATCAATAAAAACATAATTTAACTTAAAAAAAAAGTAAAAACAGGTGAAATTACTTTCAATGATTTATTTAACCCAATATGTCTAAAATAATATCATTTTCACCAATGCAAAAAATAACAATGGGATATTTCAATTTATATGCTTCAAACTTCAGTGTATATTTCATATTCACAGCTCGCCTCTACTGGAACTAGCCATGTTCCAAGTACTTGCACATAGTCAGGGGTGCCACGAGACAGCACAGATTTTCATTTACCCATTTTCAATATTATCTACACATTTCATGCTACTATCAATCTTTCTTCCCAATATAACCCTATCACTGTTAATTAATATATTTTAAATAACATATGTACACATGACATTTTCAACTGCAGATTCACATTTTGGGCAATTTTTGCTCTTACTGATCCTTTCTTCTCCCAGTTATGTCTATGTTAGTTCATAATGTTAAGTAATACACTTATGCATCTTCCTTCTTCAGCTACTGAGAGTATCTTTTGATCCTCTCCATTCCCTACTTCACTGTAAGAAAGACTACAAGTATCCCACCTTTTCTTGGGCTCTCCCCAACAGCCACCCATCTTTCAACTTTTGTTCTATCATTTGAGATTATACAAATGTGAGCACAGAGTATGTGCCCCTTTGAGATTTTGAGCTTAATGCCCTTGAGACCCACCCAAATTGTTGCATGCACCAATAATTACGTCCTTCTGATGGCTGGGTAGTATTCCACAGTATGGATGTACTACTATGTTAAATACATTCTGTGCTGGGGCACAGGAAAACTGCATATTTAGTTTTAAAAACATTACTGAGCCCTGGCAGATTGGTATGGCTCAGTTTACTGGGCTTCCTCCCATGAACATAAAGGTTGCCGGTTCGATTCCCAGTCAGGGTATATGCCCAGGTTTCAAGCTCAAGCCCTGGTAAGGAGCATGAAGGAGGCAGCCAATCGATGTTTCTCTCTCTCTCCCTTCCCTTCTAAACCATTAAAAAAAATTTTTGAGATGTAATTTGGATACAATTTAAGTCACTCCCACAGCCAACTCTAGGCAACCACTAAACTACCTTCTCTACATTTAAATTTTCCCATACTGTTTATTTCATAGAAATAGTCATACAATTTAGATCCTATTATGACTGGCTTTTTTCACTTGTCATGTTTTCAAAGCTCATCTATGTCACAGCATGTATTCGCAATTCCTCCTTTTTCCTGCCAAATATACCACATTTTACTTACCCATAGATCAGCTGATGGACAGTTGGTTATTTCCATTTTTAGGTTATTACGAATAATGCCACTATGAACATTAGTATGCAAGTTTTTGTGGGCATTTATGTTTTCATTTCTCTTGCATACATACCTAGGAATGGAACTGCTGGATCATAACAAAATGCTTAACCATGTTTTGTTTTTTAATAAACCATCAAATTGCCCTGGCTGGTGTGGCTGTTAGTTGGGCATCATCCAGGGCATCAAAGGTTGCCAGTTCAATTCCCAGCCAGGGCACATGCACGGTTTCGGGCTTGATCCCTGGTGGGGGGCATGCAGGAGGCAGCGGATTAACAATTACGCTCTCTCACTGATATTCCTCTCTCTCCCTCTCCCTTCCTCTGTCTCTAAAGATCAATGAAAATATTTCAGATTGAAAAAAAACACCAAATCATTTTCCAAAGTGGAAAATATTCCCATCAGCAATGTAGGAGAGATCTTGTCTTCCATATCCTCATCAGCATTTGGTTATCTATTTTTAATTTTAGCTGTTCTGATAAATGTGGTCTTGTCATGGTCTTAATTTGCATTTCCCTAGTGGCTAGTAATATTGAATATCTTTTCATGTGCTTATTTAATATGTTTTTATTGATTTTAGAAAGACAGGGGGAGGGAGGGAAGAGAGAAAGAGAAAGAGAAACATGGATATGTAAGAAAGACATCAATTGGCTGCCTCCTGCACGACCCTAACTGGGGCTGGAAATCGAACCTGCAACCCAGATACATGCCCTTGACCAGGAATTGAACCTGAGACCCTTCAGTTCGCAGGCAGACACTCAAACAACTGAGTCGAATTGGCCAGGGCCTTTTTTTTTTATTAAACACCTTAACCATTGCTTTTTAATTCTCACCTGAGAACATGCTTTTTTTAATTGATTTTAGAGAGAGGAGAGGGGGAGAAACATCAATGTGAAAGAGAAACATCAACTAGTTGCTTCCTGTATGCACCCAACCAGAGACCAAAACCAGAAACCTGGGTATGTGCCCTGACCAGGAATCAAAA